TTGGTTCGACAACTGCACTGGTTTGGGGTCTCTTTATTTTGTGACTCCTCCAAAATTCATAGTTGATGAGACTGTGCATAATGTGAATGATGTAGTTATTGAAGGACAGTGGAATGAGGAGCAACTGAGGGAAATTCTTCCTGATGATCTAGCATCTCACATTCTTGATAGTATTCCTTGTCCTGCTAATTCAGAGGAGCTGGACAAGCCTATTTGGAGTTTAGATACAAGAGGCTGCTTCACAGTCAAATCTGCTTGGGAGTATTTAAGAAGAAGAAAGGATCCAGCTATCTCATACTCTAATATGTGGATTCAAGGATTGCCTTTTAAAATATCTTTCTTTATGTGGAAGCTGTGGAAAGGGAAATTACCATTGGATGATACAATGAGAAGGATGGGATACTTTATGCCATCAAAATGTTGGTGCTGTCTATTTCCAAAAGAAGAGACAGTCAGCCATGTGTTCTTTCGTTCATACACAGCTTCAAAAGTGTGGAATTACTTCTTCTCTTATGCTGGTTTATCATTGGAGGGATTGAGTTTGCATCAGGCTATTGTGAAATGCTGGACATTGAAGGTGAGTCCTAGACTTAAGCCAATTTTTTTAGCAATGCCTAGCATCATTGTATGGGAGCTGTGGAAAAGGAGGAATACCAATAAATATGGGGAGCCAGTGTCTGTTAATAGAGTGGTGTATCAGGTATGTACAACTATTCAGTCACTTATCAAGGTGAGGAAACCTGAAATTCCTAGAGTACCATATAGGTGGCCAGATATACTGCAAATGATGGAGAACTATACCCCTAAGCTGAAATTCAATAAGGTACTATGGGAGTTTCCAATGCAAGGGTGGACAAAAATTAACACTGATGGGGCATCGAGGGTCAACCCAGGAAGGAGTTCAATTGGTTTTTATTTGAGGAACGAGCATGGGGACTTGATATATGCGTGTGGTAAGGAGATGCAGGAGATGACAAACACGCAGGCAGAATCATAGCTTGGCTGAGGGTATTTCCAATATCTGGGTGCAAACAGATTCAATGTTGCTCAAGAAGGTGATTGAGGGAGATTGGAAGCCAGCTTGGATTATTGAGGATGAAGTGATGAATATAAGGCAGATGTTGAGCATGGTCAATGGTAGAATAACACATATATTTCGAGAGGGGAATAAACTTACGGATCATTTGGCAAATTATGCTCTTGATCAGGGGTTCATTGAATGTTATTCCTTTCATCAGCTCGACACACAAGGTAGAAGACTAGTGAATGGAGATAAATTGCAATGTCCATACTTGAGGGTAAAGGTATCAAAGAATTAAGGTGCATGGAGGCAAGGAGGGGACATGTTATGGAGCTTATGTATAATCATTATGTACAAATCCTACTGGAGGAGTACATGATGATTATGATTTTACCTAACAATGTTTTCTTTTTTGCAGGTCAAGTTATTGCATATATGTCTTGCTCCTTGATGGAAAGAAAATCAAGGGCAGGCATAGGGGTAATTTGCAAACAGGGCACCCTGTTCCAAAGTGTATGCTGCAGCATCAGCCGTGGCTGGAAAAGTAGAGTACAAATAGGTGAAGTGTTGCCCAAAATGTTTAAGCGAAATGAGCAACTGGGAGTAAGGAATTCAGGAGAAGGAAAGGTGATTTCAAAGGGTAGAGGGAGTCAGGCAATTCTGGAGTTTACACAATTAGGCAGAAGTATATGAGAGGTCAAATGCAGGGGATATCATCAGGTGTTATCTCATGTAAGAAAGCTGAAGAGGAAGCATAGGGCTGCTAGAATAGCAGGAAAATATGCAACATCTATGGAATATCCTTTGATTGAATTTCAGATGGTGGTATTAGTGCTTTGCACTCAATCCATCAAAAAGAAATCAAAGACACTCATAGATGCAGATACAAAGCAAGACAGCCTGTTTGTCATATGCAGTAGCAGGTGTTGTAGAAAAAATGCAGCAGCAACAAAAGAGAGCATGCCCAGAATGTTTAATCGAAATGGGCTAGGTGGGCTAAATGATAAAGGAACTCTGAGCTGGGGAATAAAAGAAACAAGGAAGAGGGAGATAGAGGAGAAGAAGGAAAAGTAAAGGAAAATGAGGCATTCTAGCAGCATCGACAAGATCAAATCCCTTAGGATGAGATGGTGTTGGTGTAAGTTTTTCACGAACCATGTTTCTTTTTTGCAGGTATCATAAATGTTCTCATGATCTGCCATTCAATATGACTTCTATGGGTGGTATTAGTACTTGGTACTCATTCCCTTGAAGAAGGAAAGATGGCAGGCATGAGCATATCAGTAGTGCAATCTGGGAAAGCACTGGGCCTTGACAGGAGTAATCGAGGCATCTTGACTCAGTATAGGCACAGTTAATTAGTGCAACTTCATCATACATCATATGAGCTACCACTGGATACAAGGAGTATAACAAGCAAAGTATCTGCAGGTGTAATTGTTACAACACATAACACACCTGGACTGCACATTTTATCAATAATAATGCACAGGTATACATGGATGAAACAGTGTACTCCAGAGGTCTTTAAGGAATACGGCAGTACGACTACAAGGAACCCCATAGCAGATATGTTAACTGGGACAGACAAAGATTTCAAAGCAGGGAAGAATTGGAATGTAAACATAAAGATTATCCCTGAAGACTGGCAGCAATTTAGCTTAGCTTTCACAGTGTACAAAAGAATATTCATACAATGCTTAAGGCTAATGCTGGAAGATAGGTGCAGATTATCAACACATGAGATTCACTCAACATCCACAATTACCACAAGGCACATAATTTTCAGAATGCACAATCAAAATGTCATGCACACGATCAGAAATTGGAGATATGGCCAGAGTTGTAATTTTCGAATGTTTAGCCATTTCATAGTACAATATGTGATATCAATTTTGAGTGTATGGCTCAAGATTGATAATAGGGATTATGTAAGTACAATAGGTAGACATTTACACTCATTAGCTACATTGACATTATGTTTTTATTTTATTTTAGATATATATAAAAATTAGCACTAGGCACCTCGCCTAGTGAATTTAAAAAAAAATATGGTGTATGCCGAGCGGCACATTTAAACACTGGTTATTTTTTATTTCTGTTTTAAATTATTTTATTTCCGCAAATTTTTAATTCTTTTCCGCAAATTTAGGCTTACCTAGTCATAGAGACTAGGTGCCGTCACGATGGTTCACGGAGGGCGAACCGGGATCGTGACACACATTTGCAAGGAATGGAGAAACATAATAATTGATGAGTGATGAAGCATGTGTTGCCATAGGAGGAACGGCCACCCTTATTTTGTCTCCTAATTTTCCTAAACTGTAGATCCTCTTTAATTTCAAGTTAAGTAAACGTTACCTCTTTGCTCTATGATTTTATTTGGTTATATAGTTCATGACTGATTAAGCAGGCGTTTGGACAATATATAACCACTTACATTTACAGGTATTGAATTGGTGAAAACCACTTATCATATATCTCTTCTGGTACCTTTGCATTTCCCTTTTCATTTTCTCCCCATGCTGTGGTGCTGATACATTCCTTTCATTTCTCTCCTTGCTGTGGTGCTACAGTTTTCTATATCTTGATATTCCATGCAAGATCGCATCAGAGGTTGTAGTGTGACCTTTGCTTTCCTGTTACTCTACCTGAATTTGGTTCTCTAGTTTGCACTTTTATTCCACACCTCTTGTTCGCTTCTTCACTGTTCAATTTCGTTTGTTGCAACTGCTACCGATTCTTGTTCCTTTCTTTCTTTGTTTTAAAGATATATTTCGTTTAAAGCTATTTTACTTTTGTCCTTTTTTTTTCTTTCAGTTCCGTTAGACCTTTGTTTTCTTATAAGAAATCAGCTTGAACTTTATTGATTGGTTTATATGAACATAGATTTTGAGACTTTATATATATATATATATGGTTCACTTCTTTTGTATTTAGTTATTTACTTATCTGCGCAAGGTTCATTTTGGTAATAACTTTACTTATCCTCTTTTGTAGGTGGAGTAGATCAAGAAATGGATGATGAAGACGACGAAGAACAAGACCTTACTTGAATTGAATTTTGTATTGTTATAGATGAATGTTCTAGGAATCTTTTGTTACCAACATTTTTGAAACTTACTTACTCTCTTGAAATGTACTAAACTTATGCACTCATGGGGTAGAACATTTGCTTTATGGATATTATTTGCTTGATGGATAATTTTGTATTATTAATAGTTTCATTTTATGATGTATTTAAATTTTAGTGTTATTATAATTTATTTTATATATATATATATATATATATATATATATATATATATAAATATTTATTTATAACAGGTGCTATATTTTTGTTTTAACTGAACTAATACAATAGCCTACCAGAACCGTTGCATAGGACACAAATGGCGACGTCCAGTAGACAATGTAACCAGTTGCAAAAGGTCCCAAAAAACTGTTCCAAATACAAATATAACCGTTACGATAAGCCGAAAGAAACCGTGGCTATATCCAACATAATCGTAGCAATAGCTTATATAAAGTGTTGCTTTAAATAATATGGTAACGGTTAAAAATCGTTGTAATAAACAATACATAACGGTTTTAAAACCGTTCCAATTGGAAAAAAATAACCGTTTCCAACAGAGAAAGGGAAAACCGTTGCGATAGACGTATCTATTGTACACGGCAATGCAAAACCATTGCAAGAAAACCGTTCCAATAGGCCTATGGGTACGCCGCCGATGTGACGTCTTTAAAATGTTCCAGTAGACAATGTATCCCTATGGCAACGGTTTGGCGTCTCTGTGGGAACGGTTTTTCAACCGTTACCGTAGACCAATTTTTCAGTAGTGTAACTGTTCGATTTGGCTCCAACTTACCTTAATATACTTAGAATCGTTTCTACAAGGCATAAAAAGACAATAATAAGTGTGAAATCACTATCGTTTAAGCTTAAGCACACATAAATATAGTAAATTAGAGTGCATATTATGGCTAAAACACGAGTTTCTAGCCTACCATCAGGGGTTCTTGGCATCCGTTCTTACCACTTGAGTTGCCTACAATAGCAGCTATCAAACGAGCATTCAGATGGCTCCTTATGAGGCTTATATGGTAAGCAGTGTCATTCTTCGATTGGTTGTTTGAGCCAGGAGAGGCTAGGTGTTGATACCCAATATTTCCCTATAGTATTTTTGATATGCATAAATACTTCCAAAATGCACATATTAATCATTGCACAAGGTTTTTATATTTTTCTCATAATTTTAATGATTTAAATTGATTTATCTCTCCCTTTTTACTCATGAAATCCTCAATAATTAATCCTCAAATTATTGTTATGATGATTTAGTCATTTAATTTCTATTATTTATGCCAAAAATGGTTAAAATATTCTTTTTGTGCATTTTTTGATAGTAGCATTTTGTTTGTATTTTTAAAAGCTAAATTGCACATAATTTGCAATATCAGCCTTATTAATCGTATAATTATATTTATATGCTAAAATGGTCTCCTATATTTTTAAAATGTTAAATATCTATTTTAAACCATTTAGTACACAAAATATTTTTCCAGAAATTATTTATTGTTTATATATAATTATATGGGAAAAATTGGCTATTTAAAATATAGCTAGATTTGCCTTTCAATTTCAGCCTTATTTCAACCCAACACCCACCCGGATTCTTGATTAAATTACCCGACCCAGGCCCTAAATGCAACCTACCCGACCCAAGACCCCATCAGATCATGGCCGTTGATCTTTTTAGATCAACGACCCTCGTTAAAACTTACCTTTTTAATTCCAAATGACCCCACAACCCTAATCACTTCTCTACATCCGCCGCCCTAAAATTCCCTCTACTCTCAAAACACTCTCAACCTAACCCCTAATCTTCAACCACCGACCTTTCATCTCCGGCCATCTCCGATCACCTCTCATCGTCTCTTAAGCCTCCAATGGCTTCTCTCATGCCACACTCACCTTCTCTAAGGTCTTCAAGGGCCCTAGGCCATGCCGACTTGCATCTAGGGATTGCTATTTGGCTGTTCTTGGCCACTCTGGTCTGATTTCAAGAAAAATCATGTTGTATTTGTCGCGACCCTTGGGTTTCTAGACAGGTTCTTGTATTTCTATATGGATTTCTTCTGAAACCCTAATTTCTTCCCGCATCTCCTAGATCTGTACGATTTTGAAACAATTCGAGTCTGTTTCTTTAATGTTTTACACTGTTCTTGAATCCTTTTTACAAGAATCATCGATTTCAAAGTGTTTTCACCCTCTTCTAAATTAGGATTTTCGGAACTTCTTCTAAAACCTTGTTTAACCCGATTCTTTATATTTAAACTTCTATCTCTTGCATATTCGACTGATTCTATGATTTTACTGCTTTTTCAACTCGCCTATGTTAAAAGCCCTAATTTTTCTAGATTTTCTTCGTTTGGTTTCTATGTATTAGCATGACTGACCGATTCCCATTTTTGGAGTTCTTGTGATTTCTAGTGACTACCTCGCCTTGATATGCTTCTACTGAGTTTCTTAGCCTAAACTTACACTGATTCTATGTGCTTGTGTTCATCTTGACTGTTCACATCAAGACTTGCATCTTTCTCACTGATTCAGTATTGTTTAACTTTCATGTTTGCTAGAGTTATGTGCCGATTCTTGACTATCCATGTCTTACTCTATTTATATGTTAAACATGCTGACTCTTTTTCATGACCTTCTCTTTGATTGATTCTAAATTCCCTGTTTCTTGGTTTGATTTGAACACTTTCCTTTAAACCTCTGATTCCTACCTTTCCACTTATTTTGATTAATTTCCTTAATTAATTTTTCCTTGCCTTGCCTGCATTGTTACTTGATTCTTACTGATTATTTCCTTAATTAAAACTTTCTGAACCTAGCCCTAATTACCTATTCTATACTTGTACTATTTTGAAATCTTTCCTTATTTGTTATACTCCAGCTATGTATGATTTCTTTCCTTACTTGTCACCTGCTCTTTACCGTTTGCACTGATTCCCTTAATTAAAGGGAGACTCGAACTAATTTTTATTCTGAGTTCTATTATTACTGAACAATTTGATTCTTACCTTATTTTTAACCAGTTTTCAAACTACTATATAAATGGCTCTCCTACACAGTCACAACACACGAACACTCTTGGTTCAAAAGCTCTCTCTCTCACACACACATAAACTTTCTGCTCTCCTCTGTGCTACTTGCGACTATTCTAAGTTAGCCGGCTGCAAGCCAAGGCTAACCATTGTGTTCTCCTGCTCTTTCACTTTTGCTTAGTGTCCTCTTTACTGGTATGTTCTAGTTTCAATTCCAGTTTCAACAACAACATGGTTCTTTCATTGCTTCAGTTCATCTTGTTTCTAGTTTGCTTCTACTTATGGTTTTGCTGTGAAACTTGCAGATAATGTGATTACATAATTAGCATATTATGAAACCCCTTCTTTAGGATCAGTACGATCATGTTCCCCCTTTATGTAGTCTGTTTTTGCACTATCTGGTTTATGGTATGAATCCCCTCTATGTAGTCTACACTCTTGACTTGTATGGTTCTGGAATTGGTCTTAAGTCACTTGGATCCTATACTAAACCCCCTTAAGTATTGCTGGTTCTGTGACTGTGCTTGATCAGTTGTGTTTGAGCATGTCTGTACCACTTCCTAATCATCTGTTCTATGTGTGGCCAATCCCCATCACCCTTGTGTATAGTTTCTTTCCTCTTGGTTTTCGTCCTATGAACATTGCTGATGTGATTTTAGATTCCATGTTTGATTTACTGTTGCTTGATCATGTAACTCTCTCTTTTCAAAGCTGTTTTACTGCATGACCCTCTCTTTTATTCTACAAAACTGTTTCAAACAAGTCTCTTTTAACACTGTTTTCTTGCTAAAACACATTCAAACTATGTCAAGCACTCCCACTCTACTCCTAGGTCAATAGGTTCTGCCCCCTCCACTATGTGCACTGCCTTGGGATCCCCTTGAGAACCCTCTGAACTCTGGCATGATGAGGCTGGCCCTTTTCACACTGCACTTATTCAATTTGGTTACCAAGTCTAGGTGTAAGCACTGCCCCGGGATCCTTGAGATCCATAGGGAACTTTGATGCACCTAGACTATGACATCGTCTATAGAATTGAGGCATTTGAGGCTATTGGAGGCTTTGAAATATCTGGGCCTAATTGAAGGCTCCCTATAGAATAGCTTCTTATTTTCTTATTTACTTATGTAAGTCATTCATATGGTCTGTAGTAACTTGTAAACAAATATTGGAGTAATTAGTGAAAGGGATGTGTAGCTACATGTTTATGGGGTAATATGGGTAGAAATCATGCTTATAGGACTTTACATTTTAATCTGATTGCCTTAACAAGTAGAAATCATGCTTATAGGACTTTACATTTTAATCTGATTGCCTTACCAAGTAGAAATCATGCTTATAGGACTCTACATTTTAATCTGATTGCCTTACGAAGTAGAAATCGTGCTCATAGGACTTTACATCTTGTCATGTTTATCTCACCATGCTAGAAATCATGCCTATAGGTTTCAAATAATTCTGTAATAGAAATCATGTCTGCAAGTCTTAAAATCAGCTTCACAAATAGATGTCATGCCTATAGGATTTAACCCAGATTATGTTATAATAAGTGCTCATGTATGTTTTCATGCCTGCAAGTCTTTAAAATATGTCTTAAACTTAGATATCATGCCTATAGGGAACAATATCAAATCCTGCCTTGGATCTCGCCTAGGTTTAGTTTAAATAACTCAATCCGGTTAATGTTTAGTTCACTTCTGAATTGGTTTAATTAAGTGGTTTATATTTCCCTGGAACGAGTTCTTTTAAAAACTGCCTTAATCTATTATTAGACAGCATGCCCATAGGGTTTAAAAATCTGTTTTAAAATCTACCCCGTTTTACTATAAAATATAGTCATCAGTATTCTGCGTATAGGCAAGCATGTAGGGCATTTTCAAAACTTGAGATCCTGAAACTGTTTCTATGTCTTAATGTTTCTCTGATCTTAACCGGCATTTTCAAAACTTGAGATCCTGAAACTGTTTCTATGCCTATAGGGAACAATATCAAATCCTGCCTTGGATCTCGCCTAGGTTTAGTTTAAATAACTCAATCCGGTTAATGTTTAGTTCACTTCTGAATTGGTTTAATTAAGTGGTTTATATTTCCCTGGAACGAGTTCTTTTAAAAACTGCCTTAATCTATTATTAGATAGCATGCCCA